CTTTGTTTTACATCGTCCTGTGTATACCATACCATGCATTTGGCTACTTTGGGCTTCCTATGATGATGCAAGAGATCTGCCCTGGCAACTGTACCGACACTCACAGCTGGTGGTGCGTCGTTTCCATAGTTTACTGGTAGTTATGGTAAATATTTTTCAACCTAAAGAAACTATTAGCCGTTTAGAGGTCGACCTCCAATTTTTTGCCAAATAATTTGGTCTTAAAAACTCGAACTACACACAGGTATATATGGTAAATAAGGACATGGGGGGCCAGGGGTTTTTCAGGGGGGGGGGGGCAAAAGTACACGGATTTTTAACATTCACGGGTATCTCTCAAACCTAACACCCGCGTATGTTAAGGGCCGACTGTATGTATGTATGTATGTATGTATGTATATATATATATATATATATATATATATATATATATATATATATATATATATATATATATATATATATATATATATATGATATATACATGTGTAACAAAGCACAAAGCAGGGAACTTCCAATTCAGGGATGGGACACACTTGTAGTCTTCTCTCAATTATTTACTCTAGAAATCACCCGAGAAGGAAGAGGCTGGGACCTAGATCAGACATAACTAGTTATTATACTTACAAAACAAGCATCAACTGTTGTCATATGGGTACCACACAGTAGTAGGAATTAAACAATACATAATAAACCCAACACAGGGGGTGGTGTAGACTCACTCCAGGGTGAATGTCTGGAGAGCAACGCTAGAATTAGCCTTATTCTGGCTTACAAACTACCTCCACGAGATCATCACATTCTTCATATAACATTTATTATGCTCAATCTATCAAACACACTCTAACAGAGCAAAGAAATACGTGGGACATACCTGCTACTGGGCCCCGGGATGTAAACAACGCCATGGCGTCTCTCCCCCCCCATATTCGTTCTAGAGCGGATTCACAAAACATTTTACGTTTTCCTCCTCGAAGCTTACAAAAATACATATCCATATCAATAATATTCTATATCACAAAATGGTTGTCTCTGGAGTTCCTCATACCACACACACTCCTCCATACAAATGTTTGCCGATGGCGCCAAGTTATTTCGGGAAATTAAGAACCGAGCAGTTGCATTCATCTACAATGCTTTTTTCCTTTTTAACCTCCTCACTACCCTGTATTTGGAAACCACTTTTAATATTTTATTCGGCTAATGCCAGACAATTTTATTCAGCAGAGTGTGGACCCAGTGCACAAGTGGTTAAGGTGACACAATCAGTACAAACCTTCACACCAAGAATAGCTTCCCATTATTACCAGGAACTATATAACACAACATAGAAAATATCAGCTGCTCGTGAGGGTTGTTATAAGTTCCACTCCACTTGCTAAGTAAAAAGTGTGGTTGATAGATCTGTTAAGTACAACCATAGAGTGAAAAAATGTATATGTTACAATACAAAACTAACTGAACCAAAAAAGATAAAGTTAAAGTCTTAAATTATTTATGCCTTAACCACATGAAAAGGTTAAATAAATACACAGTAAACTTACTGCTCCACATGTAACAATGCGATTGGTGCTGGGAGCCCAGTCAATGCCTGTGACACGCAGATCATGACCCTGGAGTGTTTCCTGAAGCTTCCACTCTGATGCAGCTCTGCCATATATATTCACTTCATTGTTGTTGAGACTCAATGCCACTTCTGTAAGAAATACACACACATGCACTGAGGTTGCAAAACTAGAGAAACAAAACAAAACTACAGAGAAGCTAAGTAGCTAAATAAAATCTAAACCTAACAATGAAAAAAAAATAAAAAATAAAATTAACTCCACCTACTTTCTGGTACAAACTGGGAGAGATCAGAAGCTTTGAACATGTTATGACCAGAAGAGGAAACCAGTCCTGCTCAGGTATAAAAAAGAGGACTGAACCCCCCCCCAGTGATTATGCTGTATTATGACAGCTGTCTGGCTGAAAACTTAGGTAAAATTGCAGATTACAGCAACCAAAGAATAACCTAATCTAATCTTCCAGAATTCTGTGGTTGCAGTTATTTTTTATTTTTATTTTTTATTTTTTTACGGGGAATAGGCCACCCAGCAACAGGTCATTGAACCACAATGGGGCCTAGGGGGCAAAAAAAATAAGAGTAAAAAGAAATTGAATTGCCCACAGAGAAACTGTGGGCACCACGGGCAATACGAGCGTTACAAGTCCACGGCCTTGCCGGCAGTACACGGGATGCCAAATCCACCAAACATTGGCCATTAAAGTACCTGTAAAAAAGAGAGTGAAGCAACATTGAAGCAAAGAGAAAGGGATGAAAGATTATCAATTAAAGGAGGAGAGTCAATAAGATGAAATGCCTTTGATTCCACCTTATCTAACAGTTGGACAGAAGAAGAGCCACCCTCGATATGAGCACAGTACTCCAAGTTAGGACAAATGAATCTCTTATAAACTGAAGCAACTGCTCAGGAGTAAAGTAGCTACGGCATCTGTACAGCATTCCCAGCTTTCGGGGGGCAGCTTTAGCAATGTTGTGGATGTGTGGCTTCCATGACATATTATAGGTAATGGTGAGACCTAACATATCTATTTTAGAACTTAGCAGAATGACTGCATCCTGAAATGTGATTGGTGGGAGATCATCAAATATTACAAAAACTTCTTCTAGAAAAGTGATACCGATACAACTCAGTTTGAAAATTAGATGGCAATTTACCTGCCAGGCAAGTGCTATTTAACTTCATATAGGTCGGTACTCACGGCTGCGGTCCTCATTCCGGGCACGACAAGCGATGGACACGAGGCCGAACCGGAACACTTCTGTCATGGCGTATCACTTGGAGCAGGTGTCTGTAACACTGTGTAAAATAAATGGTAAATTTTCACAAATGCACCGGTCTTTGTTCAGATATTAAAAATATGTTTTTTCAATGTTACTCGATGAGTTTCGAACAAATTTAATATTAATTTCAGCCGGAAATCAATAGTTCTTTGGGTAAATCACATAAATAAAAAACCAAGAAACTAACAAAACCAAACCTAACCTTAACTAACCTAACACTATTTTTCCGACGAAAATCTGCAATTGACGTAAAACTCTCGCCCAATTATAAGTCTCCTATAGCCAATAAGAAACTCCCACACCACCCCCCACACATGCTTAAGAATACATGGAACAAAAAAAAGAGTTCCTTCTACTTACCTAAATATTGAAGGATATTAGCGGACTCTGGTCAACATCCTCAAGTCCTGACCAAAACAGCTTGTGTCTCAACCTGTTGGCCTGACTTAAAAGCACAAAGCAGGGAACTCCCAATTCAGGGATGGGACACACTTGTAGTCTTCTCTCAATTATTTACTCTAGAAATCACCCGAGAAGGAAGAGGCTGGGACCTAGATCAGACATAACTAGTTATTATACATACAAAACAAGCATCAACTGTTGTCATATGGGTACCACACAGTAGTAGGAATTAAACAATACATAATAAACCCGTGGTGTAGACTCACTCCAGGGTGAATGTCTGGAGAGCAACGCTAGAATTAGCCTTATTCTGGCTTACAAACTACCTCCACGAGATCATCACATTCTTCATATAACATTTATTATACTCAATCTATCAAACACACTCTAACAGAGCAAAGAAATACGTGGGACATACCTGCTACTGGGCCCCGGGATGTAAACAACGCCATGGCGTCTCTCCCCCCCCATATTCGTTCTAGAGCGGATTCACAAAACATTTTACGTTTTCCTCCTCGAAGCTTACAAAAATACATATCCATATCAGTTATTTCGGGAAATTAAGAACCGAGCATTTGCATTCATCTACAATGCTTTTTTCCTTTTTAACCTCCTCACTACCCTGTATTTGGAAACCACTTTTAATATTTTATTCAGCTAATGCCAGACAATTTTATTCAGCAGAGTGTGGACCCAGTGCACAAGTGGTTACTTTTACTTTTTTCTTTACTTTTATCCTCTTCGCCACTGATCGGCTTGTTAGCCGCTTGGGCGATCGGTCACGTCTCTTTTCCTTTATATTCTTCACCAAAAGGTCGGCTCGCTAGCCGCCCGGGCGATCGGTCACGTCTCTGTCACGCACTGTTGGCAAATACTGGGCATGCACCGGCTCCTGAATGTACCTGAACCCGCTCCAGTGTTGGTCAAGTCTTCTCTTGAAAGAGCTCACACTCGGTGCCGTCACAACACTCTCTGGTAGATTGTTCCCAGAGTTTACAACCCTCACTCCGAAAAAGTTTGCCCTCACGGTTTTCCGGACTTGCGGCTTCTTCAATCTTGAGCTGTGACCCCTTGTGGGGCGAGCGTCCGCCAGCTCCAAGTAAGGACACTCAACCGAGTAGTGCCCCCTGAGATGCTTATAAACCTCAACTAGGTCCCCCCTTGCCCGTCTGTAGTATAAGCTAGGCAAGTTCAGGCGCTCCAATCTCTCAGGGTAGCTGAGATGCCGAAGTGCAGGCACCAGTTTGGCGGCCCTCCTTTGAACATTTTCAACCAACTGACAGTCCCTAGCATATCTCGGGGACCAGATGGGGTGACAGTACTCCAGATGGGGAAGCACTTCACTCCTGAAGATCGTCACGAGGGACGGACCGTCTAGATATCTGAACGACCTTCTTATAAGACCCAATAATTTATTTGCCTGATTTACCTTCTTCTCACAATGGCCCGAGAACTTCGGCTCATTGTCAACATACACACCTAGGTCCTTCTCACACACAGTCTCAACTAGTACATTTTCTTCATCCCGTTGGGACATATGGTACGCCTCCTTACCGTTGGTACGCCCCAGGTGCATCCTCTTACACTTCGTGACATTGAATCTCAGCAGCCATTCCTTCGACCATTCCTGGAGCCCACAGAGGTCCTTCTGCAGCTCTTCACAGTCCGCTTGGTTCTTAATTTCCCGAAATAACTTGGCGTCATCGGCAAACATTTGTATGGAGGAGTGTGCAACGTCAGGCATATCATTTATGAAACAAACAAACAACAGCGGGCCCAATACACTACCCTGCGGTACCCCACTTGTTACAGGTACAGATGACGATTTCGTGCCATTAATCACCACACATTGCTTGCGGTCATGTAGAAAGTCTTCTATCCACGCTAGGACATGTCCCCGAATTCCGTACCCTTCCAGTTTGATTTTCAGCCTTTCGTGGGGTACACTGTCGAAAGCCTTGGCAAACTCTAGGTAAATATTGTCGATATTACCACCCCGTTCTAGAATATGGGTCCAAATATCCAATACCTTGAGCAATTGTGTCAAGCAAGAGCGCCCCGGCATAAAACCGTGTTGGCAATCTTTTACAAGGTTGTTTCGTAGTAGATGTTCCATCGCTGCATCTCTGATAATACTCTCAGGTACTTTACATATTATGCTGGTCAGGCTCACCGGTCTATAGTTGTTCGTGGAGTGCCTATCGCCCTTCTTGAAGATAGGACTCCCATAAGCCACTTTCCATTCACTGGGGACCATTTGTTCATCCAGGCATTTACAAAACAGAATCTTCAGGGGCTCTGCAAGCTCGTTGCACAGCTCCCTTAGCACTCTAGGATGCACCATGTCAGGTCCAGGACTCTTATGGACCTTTAGCCTGGACAGTTTATTTCTAATACCCTCTTCTGTGAACACAATGTGGGTCAGTGCTGTCTCGAACCGCCTGTCCTCAAACGCAGGAAGGTTAGTTGCATCCTCTCTTGTGAACACTGAGGAAAAGAAGCTGTTCAATGCCTCAGCTTTATCCTGGTCAGAATCTGCGTAACTACCATCTTGAAGCCTCAGGTCTGATACTCCTACTCGCGTTTTCAATTTCGACTTTGCATAGCGGTAAAACGCCTTTGGGTTTGACTTGACCTCGCGTGCAACCAGCCTTTGGAACTCCTTTTCAGCCCTCCTACACTCTATCTTTGCTTGGTTTCTGGCTCTTGCATACATCCTCCTGTCTTGCTCATCGTTTGGCCCAACCCACGTCTTGAATTTCTGGGTTTTCTTCTTAATTTTGTCGACCGCCGCATGGTTCATGTGTAGGGATCCCCTCGTATTCCTAGAAGCACTGGGCTTGGTCTTGGGTATATATTTATCGATCAAATGGGTCATTTTACTAGTTATGATATTCAGCGTAGTGTCTGCGTTCTTGTACCTTAATAAGTCAGGCCAGTTGATACCCCTCATCTCTTCCCTCATCCCATTGTAATTTCCCTTGTAATATTTGCACCTTGGCCTGGCCTTATCTTGAACTAGGTAACAGTTAAATCTGAATGACAACACTGTATGGTGACTGGTGCCAACTGGGGCAAGGTGTTCCAGTTTGGCCACTATACCCTCCTCGTTTGTTATGATGAGGTCAAGTGGCTTGGGTGTTTGTTCCCCTCTGTAATGTGTCGGGTCTCTCACATGTTGGAACAGAAAATTATCTCTCAGAGTTTCTACAAAAAGAGTAGCAGGATTATTCAAGTCATTCGGGGTTGGCTCGTTTCTCCAGTCGATGTCGCCATAGTTAAAGTCCCCCATGATAAGGAGCTCCTCCACATCTACCTCCTTCAACAAGCTACTCACCGCACGTCTCTACCAAGCAGCCCCTCACCACACAGCATCTCCAGCACCAGACTGTCTATCATATAACTTATATATTATACAAGAAAACCACATTAGAGTTTCCTTCCATCCTGAGTGCTAGACAACATTAATATCTCGATACCCCTACACTCGTGTGCCACTCTGAAGCGGGTAAGGGAGAAGGTGACTTCCGGGGAGGAGGATCAGGTGAGAGATGGGTCGGTTTATAAGTTTGTTTCTATTAATGGGGTGTTACACAGGTCTTGTGTTTCATCCAAGCGACCAGCTAAAGTAGGTCGGTTTTTACTTGTTGTCCCTGATGTTTGTCGTAGTAACATTCTCTCTGTAGCTCACAAGAGCTCTCTTGTAAGTCACTGTTCTCGTAGGAAAACTTATAGGAAGGTTGATGATCAGTTTTACTGGCCAGGTATGGGAGCGGATATTAGAGCTTTTTGTAGGAGTTGTGATCAGTGCCCACGTATGTCCGCCAAGGGTAGAGTCCGTCCTGTTCCATTTGAACCCTTACCCATTGCAGAACCATCTTCTCGGGAAGCCATAGATTTTGTTGGACGGTTCTCGCCCCCTTCCTCTAAGCCTAAATTACATCAAGCTAATATGTTAAGGAAATATAATTGCAGGACCCACATTGCTCGTGTCCTTGACGACGTCCCCAAGCTGGAGTTAGTCGAGGCACTAACCTGCAAGAGTTACTGTGGAGTTCGGACGCCAGAGTCTGTTGATCTCGGTTGCCAGTTGCTGCCAACACCTGACGAGTTAGAAGAATCCTCTACGACTGGAAATAGGCCCAAACTTAAACTTGGACTGAAGTGGACTCCACGTGCAGTTCCTTGATACGGCCTTACGTTTTGGACATCAAGTTACCACCTATTCTTTTCTATGATGTTACGTGACTGTAGAGCGCGGGAAGTCGCATAGCATGAGGCACATTTCATATAAGCTATTAATAAATTGTTAATTGTATTTATTATATTATTATTGTTCTTAGTTACTTAGGTTAATTGTATATTTATGTATGATATTAATATGCATCATTGTCTTACTCTGTTAAGTTCAAATCAAGAGAGTATTAATTAATTTTATAAGATATCTAGCAAATGTCTGGATCACGTGAGATAAGACGCGCTTCTCACCGGCGTACCCACCAGAGTTGCCAACTTAGCGACTTTGTAGCTAGATCTAGAGCTTTTTGTTTTTTTCTAGCGACATTTTAGAGCGATATCCACAGAAGTCTAGCGACTTTCTGGATACTTTTGGACTGTCCATGAAAACTCGGTTTTCCTAATTTCGAGCCATAATATATAGCAACGGGGTTACAGGGACAATACATTTGAACGGGTTGAACTCATAAAACAACTTGGTCAACGCTTACCTGACAACATTCGTGTGCTGCAGTCTATTTCTTTTCTGAGTGCCGATGAATGCTTGAAGCCTATTAAATCAGATATACTTGGTTTGGCACACTTATTTACAGAAGATTCCAGCACCCTTACCAAGATTGATTTCCAGTGGAAAAAACTGCATCACACAATCTGGACAGAAACATCTAACACCCTAAAATTGTGGTCAGAAGTGGCAAATTACAGAGATGCGAACGGTGAAAACCCTTACCATGATCTGGCTGAAATTGCACTCGCTGCCTTATCTCTTCCGTCCATTATAGTCGGCATTATGAAAATATAATTTGCATCAAATTACTGAAGGGGGGGGAATAATAGCTAGCGACTTTCCATGGAAGATTTAGCGACATTTAGCTACTTTTAGGTGCCAGTCTAGCGACATTTGAAAATTCGAGTTGGCAATCCTGGTACCCACGCTTCTCACCGGCGTCCCTACGACGCCAGTTGCGAAAATCCGCGGCAGTGGTAAGACGCGTCCATTGTTCTCAAGCTTTGACCTTTGTCTTAGTGCTTTATCCAGCCTTCTGCAATGCCCTTGGGGTATCAGATATTAGTGACACGTTTAGTTAGGCCTAGGAAGGGATCCTGGTGGTAAGGAATCTCCTGTTTGGTAGGGATAATCATTTTGTAGTGATTGTTGTATATATATATTTCGTATGTCTTGTGTAATGTTAAGTAATATTTGTTTGGTCTAACTCCTTACAGTATATTTTCGCCCTTCCGG